TAATATTTTTGTTCAAGCCAGATATTTTTAAATGGCAATCATACACACATAAAAACTCAAAATCAAACCCTCTCAGTGAAAATCGCAGCTGATACAAAGAGTAATAACGTGTAGCAGAGACAATAGAGCTGCTGCTGCTGCTTCCATGTTTCCTGTGGATTGAGCGGGAGGAGGGGTGCAACCTTTCAAAGAAAAGAAGCTGTCGTTGGGAGACGGAAAATATGGTACCGTGCATCATATCAAAGGCTCGCAGCTCAAGTCCCAACAATGTTTTCTTGGCCAGGTCTTGAAAAAGATACTGACAGGGGGGGTCCTTGAGATAGGCTGAGCTTAGTGGCTTTAGCTGATACCATAGGTGCGCAGGTTGTCTTGGGAGTGACGAAGTGGAAACCTAAAAACTTGGCAAATCAACTTGCTGGGAGTTGCATGTCCTGGTGGCTCTAGCATCTTCATGTAGCCATGGAGAGTCTACAGATATGCTAGAGGGCAGCAATTACCATTTACGTTGGTTGGAAATTCGACTGATTTTTTTTTAATAGTTGGTATCTCAATTAGTTTACATACACTTTATTCATCTATCAAAACTCTAAAATTAATAATTATATAAATTTTAAAATTATAATACTTAAATTGATAATATACAATGAATAAATTAAAATTTAACTAGTTAAGCTATATATTTCTCACAAAATCATTATTTGAGTGGAATAGCAAGGTTCATATGAAAGTGTATTACATTATTGTAAAATGTTTCTTTCCTTAGACATAAATATATATATTTACACTATTTTTCATAGCTATCCATTCGAAGGATGGAAACCTAGAAAGAGATCCTAAATAGGCAACAGTATTTAGTTAACCACTCTATAGTCTAGACCTGGGGCCTAATATTCCTATATGTTCCATCCACCTTCTTTTTAATTAGATAGACTAAGCAGCGATAAGATAAATTTTGGGAACCAGCTGGCTGTGGTATCAAGTGGGCATCAAAAAACAAATCCTTTTCTCTTTCAAATGAAATAAAAACAAATACTTTTGACTTAGGGAGGAAGGTTGGAACTCCTTAGAGTAGGTAAGGTTCGATGAAGTCACACTAGAGAACAAAAGAAGAGTAAAATATTTAGCATTGCATTATCTTAATCATGATTATCAGAAGAAAATTATATACTAATCAGATTCTTGAAACTTGATTAGCAAGTGATGGAGATAGTCATGAGTAGCAGCACTCAGACAGCGGTGGAAAAGTGGTAGCCGCGTCTGCACATCTTTGACCTACGAGAACTCAAGTCATGCCCTCTGTCTTCCTCTACCTACGAGAACTTAATCTATTTACCAAAAAGTCAGCCCGCTGCAAAGAATCCTGAAACCTATTTATGCTCTCTTGCTAGCAAAGTCGTTAAATCCCGCGTGTGGATTAACCCTAGTCCATTAGAATGATTAAAAATCAAATGAGATTTTAACTATTGTAATCGGGTCATGGTTGAGCTACCGAGTCTACCAAATCAACCATGAATTAATTTTTTTTGAAACCCGACCTAGGATTGGTCTGGTTTGACTATCTAGACAGGGCGATGTTGTGCTGTGTTTAAATTACCTATCAACCAACCTTGTCCTTACGAAAACGTAGAGCTAACTACACTGCGTACGAGTTTATCATCATGCTGTGGTAACTTTGCTATGGACTTTAGCTGTATTCTTAACAGCACCAGAAAGAGGGCAATGATGTTTACAGAAGCTAGCTGCCAGTTAAATCTTGAGATTGAGGGCAAAGCTTGTAGCAAACACCTCTCGCTTTCTCTACAAGCTGTAAAATTAGCTAAAAGCAAGCATTTCATTATCAATATCACCATAAAGGAATAAATGATGATAAGAAGAAAAGGAAAAGAGAAAAAGAAACAAATTCCTTGAAGATTGTCCATATCATAGTCCAGCTCTTTTGATTTCAATGCATTAACTTCTAAACAAACTATTAAAAGAAGGGAAAAGAAATGGAGAAAAGCCATAAAGAACTCTGGTGCAGATTGATTAGAACATTAAAAAGAAAGGAGGTGCAAAGGCAGAGAAAGCAATAATTAGAAGAGCGGGGGACCTCTGAGGATCATGTCATCTAATTTTCACGCAACTTTGTTTAAGAAGTGACACAAAGAGAACATACAATGAATGGATTGAAAATCTGAAACCAACTGATATGCGGGGTCTTGAGAATTTCGACCGGTGATGTTCTGATACTTGCTCATAGGAGAGCCAAACACACTGACACAATATTTAACGTGGTTCGGCAAAACCGCCTACATCCACGGGAGAAGTCAATATATTTAGAGATAGAGAAATAATACAAAACAAATACATGGAGGAGGAGGATTACACCCTCTCATACTCAACTCTCAACTCTCTTTGCTGCACTTGCAGCTGCTGCCATTGCAACTCTCTCTTCCTCTCTACTCTCTTCACATTTTCATAATTCTCTTCACTCATTTTGCTCTCTTGCATATGCCTCTATTTATAGGCATTCATGGAGGCTTTTCTTCAACAAAGGTGGCTGCCAACTCCAACTCTTCTTCAACAATGGTGACTGCCAACCTTTGACATCTTGGATGAGTACACATGGTTGGTGCAATAGCAAATGGTTGTTGCACATTAATGGCAACCAACCTAACATGGGGGGAACTAGTGATTCGGCGACGCATTGACGATGACCCTGAGATCTTCTCGAGGGACACCAAATGCATGATCTTCGATTAACAAGTATAGAGCTGTGGGGATACATAATGGTCCAGCTATACCAACTACAACAATCCCCGGAGCACCGAGGTAAACAAGATAGGGTCATCATGCAGCATATGCAAATGCACATACTCTTCAATCATGAGCACACTGCAAGGATATTATTAGCCCCACTTCGTAGACTGTATATGCCAATATAATCATAACATTGAATTCCCAACTCATAAATCTCACCTTTCTTAAGAGCATCTACAATTGCCTGCAACTTCAATTAATCTTTTCCCTTCTATATACTCATTGATCTTCACTGAACATGAACAAACTACTCTATTAGCTAGAATTGAAACCTTACAACGTTGTTTCCTTGATGGCATATCAAGAACAAGAAGGGACACGCACAGATACACCTAGATAAATATGGAGGACAAAGTGTGAAACCCACAATTGACATCTAATGGTGAAAATCACTGTTTTGCAATCAATTAGTAATTTTGAGCAGAAAATACTGTACTGCCATCTATGAATTGCATGCGCATGTACAAGCAAGTGTCTCAATACAACACCCAAAGGGGGGGGGGGATTCTTGGTAACAAAACCATCCATCATGACAGCTAGTATTGCACAATAAACATTTATGAGACTACATAACTGTCTGGAAACTTCATTGAACGATTACAGTTCTGAAAATTTTTGCATTCTGCCTTTATAGTACTTAAATATGGAAGAATGATCTCATTACTTGAATTTCAAGTCTAATCAATCATTAGCTAGTTACTATTTAACATAGAGTATACATCATTCAATACTAACCTCACTGCCAAATTGATGCTCATACCTGGTGGCAAAAGTACAACCCTCCACGAGATCAACGTCAATAAGGTGTCAGTATGATGTTCTACAACTTCTGCAGTCTGCAAACAGGTGATGTTTACTAGAAAGACACTTCAAGACAGTTGCTTATACTTGATAGTGGCAGATTCAACCAACAAACAAGGCAAAATGCGAGTTGAGGTACTTTTGCAAAACGACAGTGGGGGAATCAAGAGCATCGTGCGTCTCAGAAACTACAAAACTATCTGGTCTAGTATCTTCTATGCCCTTGCCTCGAGGAAAAAGAAGAAAGAAGATCACTGAAGTGTTCATATTCATCGAGAAATATTTGCAAGAAACAGATTTAAAAGTAGGCACAAAAATCAAATCGAAAGAAATAGTTTTATAAACGACACCGGTATACCACTGCATCATCCATAAAATTGTTAAGAAATACCACCTTATCAAGTTTCGTTCAATCCCTGCACTAGTAACCAATAATAACTCAAGTCGTTCTAATTCCAAAAACAGATGACTTGAAAATCCCTTGAAGTGTGAAGTAGACAAATTAAGACCACAGCTCACCAATTACTAGTGTTCCTGCCATCTTTAGTGTTTGGTGCAAGATTTGCTATTTTCCTTAATCCACTAAGCAAAAATAAGCTAGCGAGTGCTGCAATACCTTACAAAAAGTGATGGTAACAGAAGACAGTAAATCTATTAAGAAATTCTAGAAATCAACCAAATCTGACATCATAACATAAGAAGCAGTACTCACACAATCACACAATCAGTAGTGTTTAATTAAGTTTAAATAGAAGAAATTTGGCACTGCAGTTTTCAACAGCCAGATCAGTAACAAGTAGCCTTTCTATCTTCAAAGGAACAAAATTGACAGTGAGTTGTTCATGTCAAAAGAACTTCAATATTTATTCATTAAGAACAAAATTTTTAATCCTCAAAAGAACAAATTTTTATTGCTCATGAATCACAAGACCATCTCATTAGGTATGCATCATGAATAGGTCATGTGAGTTGTTCTTGTCAGAAACCTTATGTCCAAGATGGCAACAATTGACAGTGCCTATTTCTGAAGTTATGCCACATTTTGGTTTTCTAATTTGTATGACCGCCATTCCGATATCTTGTTATGCTGAGACCCCTCAGTCAGAATGGGTTATAAAGAATCAATATATTATATACTGATAATATTCTTAATATTTACCCTACTTGTTTGGAGAAAACTATCGATCAGAGGCAGGTCCAAATGAAACCAGCACATCAAAGGATGGATTCCAACTCTCGAGCTTTGAACATGGAACTGCACGCATTAATTCACAATGCTGGCAGCACCACCACAGGGAAATGACATTTAAATTTCACATTAGACTATCATGGCTTTAGAAAGTTCAAGCAAAAAATCTGGTCCAAGGAAGAGAAAACTTGCCAATCATTCAAATAACTCAGTCTCAAATTTCAACTTAACTTACACAGAGAGAGCAATAACTGATTGCACCTCACCCTGTTATCTAGATCACAGAAGCCGAACGCTAGACAGTATGATGAGCAGAAGAATACGACATGCAGCAGAACTCAGATAATCTACTGCAGGTGGCTATCATTCCTTTGCAGAAAGATAAGATTTTATCTTATTCGATGTATCTTCATCAACTCATTAAAATACATCAAAATACAGCCTAAAGAAACAACATATAACAATCACCCATAATAGGTAGATTGCTCCTCATACAATATGGAGATTAGTTTGTATTCACAAAATCATTTTTGGTCTTTAAGATTCTCATTCTGCAGGTACTTCAAAACTCCATACGCAACAGTTCCAGCGACAAACAAGCCAACTGTAGGCGTGAAAGATGGGTATAGATACTTCACAAAAAATTTATCCCATTCTTCTGGCAGGAAGCCTGTTGAAGGAAAATGCCAAGTTATTTTTTTATTTTATAGGAGCTAAGAGGTCAGTATTCATATACAATATCATTAATAACTATAAAAACAAAGTAGAATCATTTGCCTCATTTTCTTTACAATAGGGACAAGCTTTAGATAACCATGTTAATGCTAGGAGGCATTATGCCTTCTTTTTGGTTGTTTTTTAAATTGACACCACTTTCCTAAAGCATCCAGTCAGGCTAAGGGGAGTCTTAGGACGCATTGCACCGTTTCCTAGACGTTGAATAATTTCCAAGTGAAAAAGGAGAGAATAAAACAAAGGAAATTGCATCAACATAGTAGCAAAACAAGCTCCTCTGTGAAAGAAATAAATTCCATTAACTGCATAGATACCCTCTTATGGAGGACTAGCATAATCGTTCGGTTATGAACTAGCTATGCTGAAGTCATATTCACTGCTAAACATATCAGGCAGCTAAAATTAGGCTATTGGATACTTTATTTTATTCTTTCAATGAAATATATTGCTAATCAACCCATGGTTTGGCAAAGTTTAAGAATGTAAGAACAACATCATCATTTTTCTTGTGATGAAACTAAATTCGTTCACAGTAATAATAGCCATGAGGAGACACAACACCAATCATAAACATTGAACATAAAAAAAGTACCAATACTAAATACGGATGATTATACACTATCTATAATTAAATAGAAATTGCTAACAAATTAGCAAAGCAATTTGACTTTGAGAAAACTGGCCATGCCAGTAGATAATCAGTAATTTCAACAAATTTTTTTCTAACAGTAATGAATCAAAGAAGGTCAGTATCCAAATTAAAATCTAAAAAACACTTTTGCTTTCAGAAAATTTTCAAATCAGGGACTTTAATTAATTAAACCCAATTCAAAAAACTCAATCTAATCTCGAAATTCTCCAAGATTTTAACCAAATTTTGACATTTCTAGCTTCTTTCAATTCATCCAAATATAACCAAACTCCATAAAAAAAGAAAAAAGAAGAAGAAAAATCCCATAAATTCTGACATACCTGAAGAAGCAAGCAGAATGCCTTCAACAAGAATGATCCCACCAAGTCCTAACCAAGCTAGAACAAAGGCACTCTCATTTCTACCCTGTTCTTTAACTTTAACCTCGTTTTCTTGGCTTATAAAAGCTGGTTTCTCAGCTGGAGTCCTTCTAATTATTGATGCTCTCTCTCTTCTATTACCCTTTGGTTTATTTTTACTCTCTCTTCCACTGGTTGTCTTGCTTGTAGTAGCTGCTGCTGCTGATTGCGAGCCAAACCCTTGACCAGGTGAGACTGTGGAGGGTTTTTTCTCCGGTGGGGTTGGATTATTTGTAGAGGTTTGGGCTATGACTTTGAGTTTGGTGGGTTTTGTCAATGTTGAGAGAAGGAGAAGATGAGAAGGTTTTTTGAAGAGAGAAGAAGATGAGGGTGAGTGGATTTGTAGCGCCATTTTCAGTTTTGTTGGTTAACGATGATATCTGTTTTGCTGTTTTGACGGCCTTTTTGCTTTTTGGTCATGTAATTTGCCTCCCCTGTAAACTTGAAAATTGTACTGGCCTCCCCCAATTATACCATGAGTTTTCTTTTCCTCTCCCTCTTTGTTTTTGTTTTTTCAAAATCAAGCGATGAAAAACACAAGATTTAACATGATAGTCAACAACTACGTGGAAATCACAGTCAGCAAGGTACGAGTTATCGCCCGATAGTCAATAATAATAGAGCCAAGTAGAAACTCAATTATACAATCTTGTCCCATAGATAGTCAACAACTACGTGGAAATCACAGCCAGCAAGGTACGATTTATCGCCTGATAGTCAATAACAATAGAGCCACTTAGAAACTCAATTATACAATCTTGTCCCATTTTTAGAAGCAGTATCGTACCACGCCTAGGTCGAGATTTCACCTGGAAAATAGCTTAGATTATCAATTTATCGAGCCAATTTGGATTTATCAAGATAACACATTATCAGTTTTTTAAATAAAAAATTCATTGATTAAATTTAAATAAAATTTAATAAAGTTTTAATTAAATTGCTAATTAATTATCAAGTTCTAGAATTTAGTTGCGTAATCGAAACTCAATTCAAGTTAGATTTATAATAATTTTTATTGTTGCAATTAAAAAAAATAGATTTAAGAGAGAAATTTTTTATGACACTTTTAAGAATATAGATTTAATTTTTTTATTAAAACTATCATGAGACGGATTTTTTATGGAAAATAAATAAAAATTAGGTTTTTAAAAATAAAAAGATAGATTATTTGAGCAAATATTATATACGAGATATAACACAAAAAATTAAAAATATTTAACTAATTAAAAATGTTTTTCTGTGATCGAATAAAAACACAATACCAGCCACAAAAAAATTGAAGGTTTTTTTTTTTTATTAATCCGGTTTTAAAAATAAACTGGATATAAATTAATAATAAATTCACCTAGAAATTCCCGCCCACAAAACCAGACAAGAAAAAAAAGAGCAGCATTCCCAATCTCGTGGCACGCTCCTCTCCTCAGCCAAAAAAATAAAGAAATCCCCAATTTCTCAACTCCACAACTCCTCGTTCTCTCCTCTCCCATGTCGCCTTAAACTTCCACCCCATCCATTACTTTAGGGACCTTTTCCCTCCTCCTCCTCATGTCTATCCTTTCTCTCCCTCGCTCTTTCTTCTACCTCTCCCTCTCTTCGCCGTCTCACGCGATCACTTCCCGCAGAAACCGATGCTTCAGCTGCTCTCTCTCTGTTTCTAAAACAAGCAACGCCACCTCGCCTGCGATTCTCTGGTTCAAGCAGGATCTTCGTCTCGATGACCACCCTGGCCTTCTACAAGCTTCCAAGTTTCCTGCTTTACTCCCTCTTTATGTTTTCGATCACCGTATTCTCTCCCGTACGTCGTCGTTTTGTCATCTTTCCTCTCTTTCAATTTGCTGCCTCTTTTCCGAGTCCGTGCCTTTTATTTCTCAGCAAATGAAAATCGGAATTCCGGAAAAAAAAAAATCGTGACTCGTCGTCTGAGGACAGTAAAAGCTACTTGTCGGTTAGAATTTTGTGTGCATGTGTGTTGATTTAAATTAAGTATTATATATGTATTTTGGTGGTAATGTTGCGCAGGTTACAATGATGAGAAGCTAGAACTGGTTCTTTTTGCGTTGGAAGATTTAAGAAAGTCACTAAAGAAGCAAGGGTCTAATTTGATGATCAGGTTTGGGAATGCAGAAAATGTGATAAAAGAGCTTGTACTAGAGGTAGGTAGTTTGGTTGTTGTAATAGTTGTTACTACATTTTGTGCTTGCTCTGTAGATGTTATGATTTATAGTTGTAATTTAGGCACTTTGAGCTAAAACCGAGAGCCCATTTGGTTATTTTGTTGATTTATAGAGTACGATTGTTGGAACAGGTGAAAGCTGCCAATGTGTTTGCGGAAGTGGAGGTGGAGTATCACTTGCGGGAGATAATACATGTTGTGGAAGAGACATTAGTGAGGATGCCTTCGTTTGATAGGAGTCCGGAGATTGTGTTGTGGCAGACTCCTTTTTATGATATTAAGGTAGTCATCTTTGTCATTGGTTAAGTGATGTTTTCATTCGAGATTGTGTTTTATTGTCGGTTTTCTTTGTTTGTAGAATCTGAAGAACTTACCTGCTTCGTACGATGAGTTTGAGAAGCTTCAATTGGCTGTAACTTCACCTCTTCTGTCATCAAGATTGCCTAGTGCAGAAATGGAACTGGACTGGGGTAAGTTTCTTTGTTCAAAAAATGGAAGAGTGGTTTTTTTGTAGAAGTATTTGATTTACAATTGTGATTAAAGTAAGGGGAGATGATGACTAAACAGTGGATCAGGTTTGCTACCCACTTTGGATAACTTGAAGAAGTTTGTGAATGAAAGTCCTTCCAAATTGAATGAAAGTTGGGCTTTGCTCAAGGAGATGTCAGTTGAAACCATATTGCAGAAGCAATTATCAAAGTCAGGGAAAGTAAGTTTGAATAATTCAAATTTCAAGCATACCAAGAGGAAGAGACTGGATAAATCTGTTTTTGTTACACAAAAGCAAAATGTTGTGGGTGGCGGGACAAACAGTGTGCTTAATGCATTGGCTGCATACTTGAGATATTTGGAGGGAACTGCTCGGGATGACTGGCAAGAGTATGTGCTGATAATGTGCATCATTAATTTATGAACAATGATTTAGGAAGTTATGCTCCGTATTTGAGTTTGTTTATCTATTTAAGAAATTACAAATGCTAACTGAATAGCCTTAATGTAGAGCCCTGTTCACCTTTTACTTGTTATGTTCTGTAAAATGTGTTACATTTGTTGTTTCTGATTTGAAACTTCAAAAAACATTTGACTTGATTTGATGCCAGGGTACATGAGAAATTGCGAACTGCTGAAATTCGTGATGGAGCTTCATTTTTTGCGCTCTTTGGCCCTGCCCTTTGTCTTGGTATCATATCTAGAAGGAGAGTTTATTATGAATCAATTAAATACGAGAAAGAACGGAATGCTGGGTTTCTATCACCCTTTGGATATTCAACTGCCACAGTTTCTGCTTCAGCTGACACAGTGTGCTCAATGGAGGTAGGCTGATTTAGATCTACTATGCCCATGTCATTAATTGTTTTCTAGATGTGCATTCTATATTATCTACTTTGACTTTCTTTCTTTCTTTTTCCCAGTTTTGGAATAGCTTGTTTGATTTAGATAAGCTTTTGATGGATTCTAGTGAAATTTTGTGCAGTGGTATTGGCTTCTGCTTTTAAAAAGTCAATTAAGAGATGGAGGAGCATATACTATTCGGATATGGAGATGGAATGGTTATCTAATTCAGGTTTGCAGCTGAAAACTGATCTATACATTTAATTGCTTTTCTTTGAATATCTTCCTGCTGATAGCAGTTCATTTTATGCATTTTATACTGGAAAATATGTTAGCCAAGATTAGTAAAGGATTTTTGTAATTTTTGCTGAAGAGTTTTTTTTTTAATGTAATTTCAGTATACCATTGTTGGCAATAGAGGCCCTGCTGTTCTTCTCGTTCATGGTTTTGGTGCATTTTTGGAGCACTTTCGTGACAATATAAGTAGTATATCTAATGATGGGAACCGAGTCTGGGCTGTCACGATCCTAGGATTTGGCAAATCAGAGAAACCAAATGTTGTCTACACTGAACTTATGTGGGCTGAATTGGTGAGAGATTTTATAATTGAAGTTGTTGGTGAACCAGTGCATCTCATGGGAAACTCTATTGGTGGTATGTTACATGTTCTAATCTCTTGCCTTCATGTCTAATTTCACTGTTTACTTCTAAAAGCTCATATATGTTGCTGCTTTTCAATACTCGCTAATTGTTATTGCTCTCTATCTCCAGGCTATATTGTAGCTCTTGTCGCCTACTTTTGGCGTGCTTTAGCCCAGTCTATTGTCCTTATCAATAGTTCTGGGGATATTATTCCAGCATATACTTCTCCGCAATTCACCAAAGTGAGTTTAAAATAAAGATTTATGCAAATGTCATCCTTGACTCGTAACACATATCACAGTTGTCTTTTATTTCTTTTTTTCGCTCTTAAAAAGTGCCATCTTGATCAATTGAGCTGTTTATGAAGTGTTCATTGATTAATCTCACCATTTTCAATCTTGTTTGGCTGTGTTTCACCATCATGTTGTACAGCCTATTTGTCTATCAAATAGAATGTCATCCTGAGGCTGTCCACATTGTCTATCCACTTGAATAAATTATCCATATTGTGTGTTATTTGGATAGGAGTTTAGTAGAACAATAACTGGAAGATGCTCACATGATTTGGGGTCCAAAATGATCATTGGATGCTGTGAAGTTTGTGCATTCTCTGTATCAGTAGCAATGGACATGTACACGAACACACAAGCACCTTATCAATCTGCTTCAATATTAGGAGTAATGGCACAATGGGAGTTTTTCTGAAAACCATGTTCCTTGCACACCTTTCACATGTCCTCCAAGCTCTCTCTGAGTACTGTTCAGCCTGAAATACACAGTAAGCAGTAATTTCGTCTGTGATCTCCTCATTTGCTTGTTATCTAATAATGTTCCAGGTGAGAGCGACTTCAGGGGCTACGTGGCTTGGTGCTCGACTCCTTTTGTTTTACTTGAGGCTGAGTTTGGGAAGCATAGTAAAGAATTGCTACCCAACTGTAAGTGATATCTATTTCTGCATTTGGTCTTACTATTCACATCCAAATGTTGCATCTTATTTCACTGCATCTTGCCTTGCAGAATTCTGAGAGAGTTGACGATTGGCTTATTAATGAAATGCTAAGAGCTGTATCCTTGTCAATAGTGAAACCAAGCCCTTTTGTATTCATTTCTGCAGAATTTAATTTGACTTTGTTAGGAATGGAAATCGATAAGAAAGAAATGTATCCTTAACACACACAAAAGTCTTATGATCCTGGTGTTCTAGTGGTACTAGAAAGTATTTTCAGTTTCAATCTTTCACTTGCTCTTAATTATCTCTTGGAAGGCTTCGAAGGCAAGGTTCTAATCATACAGGTAAAATCTCAATATAGTGGAAAATATTACA